TATACTCGAGTATATACGGTAAGCATAATTTTCACTGAGCATACTACAGGGTCCAGATAGTTGGTGAATGCAGGGTAAGAGTGCAAGATAAAGAAATATAGCCTGGGGATATGTTAGATCTTGGATTTAGTTAGAACCCCATAGTAGTACATTCTGATGCTTCAGCTTCTCCGATACTTTTCCCCATTGTTTTATTAATATAGTAAATACTAATATAAATATAGTAAAACAGTCTTGGAAAAACTTGGAATGCTTGATAGATGGTCTAGAATGCTTACGGTTTTTGGAAAAAGTGAAGACTTGGAAATACTTTTACAAATTCAGTTCTTGTTTTAAAGCCAGGCTTTTATAGAAATGTATGGTCCACTCTACACTTTGGTATTTCTGTAGGGCAATTCTATGTCACAGTTTCAATATCAGGAATTAGACAATAATACATAATCTTATTTGTAGGTGAAAAAAATTAAGAAATTCAAGCGTGAGCGGAGGAGAAACTACAATGTCTTCCAAAAATTGCAAAGCAGGCGTAACTTCTGGGCTGTAACACATCCAGCCAAAGTAGCTAGCTTGAGCTATCGGCTTTGAAAGGTAAATAAATTGAACATCCTATGGGCAGAAAGATGGGCAGAAAGAAAGTGGTGATGATGATAGCATTGATACGCAACCTATGGTCTTGAGGCCCGCGATGACATCCCAGGGGGTCTGCAAAGTCTTGAAAAAAATGTTATGATTTAAAGTTTTGATGGTTCGTGGCCATGGTTCATGCCACAAAAGGTATTTAAAGGGGGCTGTGGTGAAGAAAAGGTTGAGAATCATAATCATAAAATCGTAGTTATTTTATATAGAATTGCTAAGATGAAGTAGGAAATGGCCAGTTATTAGGGACAGAAAGGTAACTAGTGTCCATGATGGGTAAAAAAGATGTATTCTTCAAAACAATATTTACATTGTTGAGTTGTGTGGAAATTTGTATTCGGATAGCAAAATATGGCTTGAAGCATTCAGGAATGCACAGGCCCGTTTAGCCATGCTTCACAATCAACAAATGGCTCTGAGAAAATAAGCATTTAGTTTAACACTTTCCTGACAGAAGTTACTTGCACACACCCATGTCCACTTCAGGTGGAGGTATCTGCATAGTATTGATAAATAATCCAAATAGAAATATTTTAAGTATGTACTCTGCAGTATAATTGTTCCGGGTTTTTCCCCCTTGGCTTTTACATGTATATTATTGGAGCTAGCTAAACTGTAGTTTTCAAATGTGACTTTTTTTGCATTATCCTGAATGGAAAAGATGCATTTTGGCTCTGAAGTTAGGGAACACGAGTGATGAAGTTATTTCATACTAATTCTACCATTTCTTTCCCCCTCTGGGTTTGAAGCTGGGTCGTGTCATTCTGATTCCACAAGGATGAGGACTTTTCTGGGTCATTAATTTCATTCCATTTCCACCTAACAGATGAGTCTTGGCTGAAGAAATGAAGTGGTCAACCTCTACAACTGTGGAGCTTTAAGTGACCAGAATCAAGTCACCAGTTGCTACTTCTGGGGAGAAGGGCCTCTTCTTGCCCCGAGTAGGGTGCTGCTATTCAGAGTGCTAGGAGGTCGCATCACTTCTCTACAGGTTACTCTGGAGAAAACAGGTTCTTGACCTTACTATATCAGGGGCACTGCAAGATACTGTGCCAATAAAAAGCGCTGTTCCAGGGTAACTTGATGTGGATTGAGAAGTGGGGGCAAGGCAGTCGGTCCTTGGAAATGAAACTTTCTGCTGCTCCACACCCAGAAATCTAGGCTTGGTGAGCTGTGATGCCCTCAGCAGCCTTTCCTGTCAGGAGAACTTGAAGTAAACTGAGAACACCGCCTGGTTTCTAAGATGATTGCCTGAAATGGCACTTATCTTTCCCCACTTACAGCTGCCATTATGAGTGTAATTTGTATGATTTTTCTTTACTTCTGCATGACCCGTCCCTTGTTTCAGCCTTTCAGATGAGCATAAATTCTCAACCATCACAAACATTTATTTTTTCCCCTCAGGAATTCTCCACCAACTATTCTTGCTGCAGACGATCTTTGGAACCGAGTTCTGTTCCGCAAGAAAAGTTGGTGGTCTGATTGGCCTGCCTTTATTAAATGTGATTTCAACTAGCTTCCATCCTCAAGGAGCTTGGAAACAGTTTGTTTATTTGATGGATTTTGGATGTGTAAAGTGAAAACTGAACATTTGAAGGTCCTTTCACATTAAAAAACAACAACATTGCATATCCTAAACTGGGAACTCTTGAAGTAGGGCATCTGAATGTTCAGGTACATGTCTAATGTTTGCTTTTTTCTCAATAAGGGTTGAGATAGCATCCATTCATGGATTGACACTGTCCGTGCTCTGATTGGACTGAGTCTTGATTACTAATTAATTAACCACTATATAACCTGCCTCCATGAGTGGTACCACCCAGTTTTCTGACTCAGTCCACTCTGGGACAGTTGTGTTATCCTTCGTATCTTCTACCTGATTTGATCACTCTTCTCATAATTTTAGTTATATTGCCTCATAACACTGAGATTGCTGTGAATATTTCCCTGCTCCTACTGCCAGGCCTTCCGACCCTTGAGCCAAAGGGCTGCTGCCTGCAGGCCTCACGCCTCTCCCCTGCACACCTCAGAGCGCTCTCGACTCACCTGAGATTTTAAAAAATGGAGCAGCGGAGAAAGGCAAACAGCGCGGACTACCAGCCTTTTGCTTCTTTGTGTCCTTGATAGCCGCGCAGGCTGGGGGAGAGCCCAGAACGCCTTACAGCAGCTGGGCGGCCAGGGATACACACAAGACCGCCTTCGCATTTAAAGCGGTAGCGCGATGAAGGCAGGCGCCGCGGAGATCGTGGGGAGGCTTGGCAAGCCGCGAATTGCAGGGACGAGCGTGCAGGCCTTTCAAGAGCCTAGCGCCGCGCCGGAGGGTCTGGTCTCAACCAAGAAAAGGTGCGAACGCCATTTTGGAAGAGGGTGGAGCCTGGTACGAATGGACAGCTGCGGGGGCCATTTTGAGCAATATTGCTTTACCCTGGTGACATGGCCGACAGCAGCATGCCTGAGTCATCCTCCAGCGCTGGCAGGGAGGTAGTGGAGACAGAGCCTGGACTACTGACTGGCAGGGACTCCTCTTCTCCCCATTGGGCCAGCCTCATCACAGGCTACCACCACCCCCCGGTCAAGTTTGCTTGAGCCGATGCTGCCTTGGGAAGGAGAGTGCTGCAGACTGTTTGGTCAGTTGTGCCAGTCTCGGAACAGTCTATTGCCCACCTTTGAGAATTGTACGGCTTGGGTATGTCCCATGCATGGATGCTATCTCCACCCTTATTGAGAAAGAGCGTTGGTATCTTACCTGATATGGCTCTTCTAATAAGGTGGAGATAGCATCCTATCCCGACCCTTCTTTTGACTGTTCTTTGTCTTCCCGAGACTGTTTTTCTCATTTCAGATGTTTGTATTGTCCCTTTGATGTTGGGTTTTTTTCTTGGAATCACTAAACTTGAATTTTGTTGGGATAACACGAGGAGTCTTTTTTCCCCTCTTCGCTGGAAAACTGGGTGGTACCACTCATGGAGGCGGGTTATATAGTGGTTAATTAATTAGTAATCAGACTCAGTCCAATCAGAGCACGGACAGTGTCAACCCATGCATGGATGCTATCTCCACCTTATTAGAAGAGACATGTCAGGTAAGATACCAATGCCCCTTTTCCTCTTTCTGCCCTTGTGCAAATTTGTTTCTGATGGGCATTGTTGCACAATTGGAGTCTCCTAGAAGATCTGATTCATGCAACAGATGAACAGGTGTTAGAAAGAGGCTGACTGAATCATTGCTGCTTTAGCACTAAGGCATAATCTGTTTCTTGCCCATTTTAAAAGGAACACTAGTTGCCTGCAAGAATTTTTTTAATGGGATATTTCACCAATAGGAAAAGGGATTCCTTTGTACCTGTTATCTACCAATACAATTGCTTCTGTCTCTAAGGCTGACATATTTCATCTGTCATATGCCAATACTGCACGGTCACTTCTGAGGGGCAGTCCACGTGCACTCCATCCATTCTGCATCTCTCTGTTGCACATCCATTAGCCTTTTTGTCATTGGCATCCGTTTTCTCGGGTGTGAACCTTGAAAACTCTTAATTCTTTCCACTGCATAACACACGAAAACTTATCAATTTTGGCCCTTGTACCTATTTGGGGCTCACAATTAAGACTGTTTTCCTCTGATGAAAGGGACTCTGGGCCTCTTATTTCTCTGAGGGGAACAGGGTCTTCTGTATTACAGTCTTCTGCCAATATGTAGATACCCTGAACATGGGCACACTTTGCACCTCATACTGGGGTTTAATGTTAACAGCCCTCATTGTAGCAACGGTTCATGGTGCAATAAAGGATTGTTTTGTGTATGTGTCCTGTTTTATTCAGTCTGTCGGTCAAGCTCTTGTGGCTTTTTCTAACGCGTCTGGTGGATGAGAGATTAAGAAGGTCTAAAGAAATGATCTTAGTCATCCAGTTTTCAGAGATTACTAGTAGTACCAAAGAGATAAACAACCCTTGTTATATTGAGAAGAAAGCTATTTTTTTAGAGTGGGAAGAGAGTAGCTGGGTGTAGCTACTTCTAACACATTTTTTAAAGTATTGCATTTATATTGGGGATATTGATTGTGCATCTATGTCAATGATCCCACAAACAAACATACCCTTCCAGGGGGTCATTAGCAAGAAGCAGTAGCTGAGAGTTACTCTCATTCCATTTATTCTAATTTATGTAATGCATTGCTACTATTATGTGAATCTTAACTCCTCCCTCAACTTGCTGATTGTGATAGAAACACTGGATAAAATATATACTGTATGGAAGGGTGTTTTTTTTGTAAAATTAATTACTTACCAACGACATGGAAGAAAATGAAGTTTTAGAAGCAGCTTTTGAATTGAGTTCAGCAGAACTGGGATACAGTTTAGGATAGGTTAGGCTTCAGGCTGCTTCAGCAGAAAAACTAGCACATGAGCAGAGTACTTATTTGGCCCCCTGATATCTTGTTATGTATGGAAAAAACAACAACCTCCAGTGTAAACCCTAGAGAACAAGAGCCCGCTGTCGCATGTATTTAATAAACCATGTTTTTGTCAGTGTCACATAAAGGTTCCGAAGTTGCACTAGAGCTAGGAAGTTTAAGTTCTAATTCAATCCCAGCCATGGAAGCTCATTGAATGATTTCATCCCAGTAACCTTTTCTCAGAACTGGCTACCATGGGAAAGAGGAGTGTTTTGTTTGTCCCTGTGTATAGAATTGTAGGACTGAAAGGGACTTGGAGATCCTCTAGTCCAACCCCCCCCCCCGTCCAAGGCAGGAATCCTTATACCATCCCAGACAAAAGGTTTT